GACAGACTAAGTCGATCTGCAAGAACCTTTGAGGCCCTGAAACGGGTGCTTGAATTTGTTTGGCCTGATCCCACAAGCAAGAGATGGAATAAGACTACTCAGTGTCTTTCGCCTTTGAGCTGCCCACAGTAATGGGAAGAAGTGCGCCACGGGGCGCGATGCCTGGTGGGAGGGTCGGAAGAGGCTCGGCACGTGGTGCGATGCCTGGAGGGAAGGCCAGAATCACCGGCATGGAATCTGGCGGACAGGGGGACCCTTGCATTGCAAGGTTCTCGCCGCCTGATCTCCAAGGACCTGCAGCAGGTCCGGGCCCTGGTCTCTGCTGGGGACGGTTGCCGTGCCCTGACTGCAGGGGTGTGGTCTGCAGCTCTGGCTGGCTGGGCTGGGCTGGATGTCTCGTCAACACCTCCAAAACCTGAAGCTCAAACGTCGCATGCACGTGCTTTGCAATGCCCAGGATGCTCAGCGGCATGGAGATGCAAAGGCTCCAGATGGACGAAGGGTGTGTGGTCCGCAACAGCATGTAGAACTGCAAGAACATGGAAAGCGGGGCCTCAGGGCTCTTGACGGCTTGAGCTCTGGTTTAGGGCATCGGGGTTTCGGGGTAGAGTCTTAGGGTTTGGCTGCAGGGGTTTCGGCTTCGGGGTTTTAAAGGGGCTAGGGAACTTTGGGAGTGCGGCCTCAAGGCTCTTCTCGGAGCGAAGCGCCAGCATGAAGTCGTCGGTAGGAAAGCCCCGCTTCCGTGACTCAATGAATTGCCCGAATACTTCGACCAGCTGTATCTTACCACGGTAGCAATCTAAGGCCACCGGAGCAGCAATAATGACAACTTGCACGGCTGCCACCCCATAGGCTCCCTCCACGACAAAAGTTCGGAGGCAGTTGTAGTCCGACAGGTAGTCGAGCAGGAAAACAACAAAGTCCATCCAAAGCTGGAACTTCACTTTTGGCGAGGATTCCAATCTTCTGTGCGCAATTTGATCTTTCAACTCCGCTGCCTTTGCATCTATGGCCTCAATGGTCTCAGGGTCCATGGGGACAGTACCCAGCATGACAAAAGCGCTTCCACCCTTCAGCAGGTGCACCCAGATGCTGAGCAAAAGGCAGGCGATCAAAGAGGCTAAAGGCAAGCACTGCAATGCTGCGACCACAGCCACCGCAGTCTTGACTTGAGTAGGTTCTTCTCCATGGACCAAGGTGCACCGAGACAGTTGTGCGAGCATGGTATTTTCGGAGCTCAGTGTCTGAGCCTCATAGTACGGATTTGGCTTCGGTTCGCATCCTGGGTTGTGACACACATAAAGCTCTTGTGCAAGATCTGGCGCGAACGCATTAGCAAGGCATCCCTGCTTCAGCCAAGAAGGCACTGTGGGGGATAGGTGGCAATGCAGGCACTGGCAGCAAGATAAATCACATGGGTCGTCACAATGCATGTGCACAAACTTCCAGGACAAAGCGGCGACAACTGAGTCATCAAATGTCTGCTCCCGTGGCCCACAACCAGGACTAGAGCACTGATCCCAGCATTCTCTTTCCAAAAGGTGTAGGCGATTGGCATTTGGCGTTTCGAATGTGAGGTGTACGACCATACATGCACGAGTTAAATTTAATCGGTCGTAGTGGCTGCAACTTGGCTGCGGGACCGCGTCAGGGCAATTCCCTTCCAGGAAGCTGTTCGCATCGGGCTTCGTCCAGAAAGTCAAACAGCACACAAGCTTCAACACCCACACGAAGCCACCAAAGCAAAGGTTGGGCGCCTGCTCGCGCGCCAGGCCGTGTCGTGAATGGTTGTCAGGCCAGACGACACAGAGTGGCTCAGCCAGTAGGATGCCAGGCCTGGGGTAAAGACGAACCGCGGCAGCTAGCAAGAGCGCCCCCAGCGGGATCAGAAAGAACGCTCCGTGCGTGAGGGTGGCCACTTGAGGAAAGCAAAGCATGGAGATCGTCTCCAGCACGACCAACAGCCTTAGCTTTCCCGCAACATTCGCTCAGATTCATATACGAAACAGCCCCAGAAGCCTAAAGAAGTACACATGACACAAGAAGGCGTCCTGCGCTCAGCCGCCATCTTCTCCGGATTACTCAGCGCACTGTATCTACAGTACTACACTGACACGAGTACGAACTTAGTCTGGTCAGCTGCAGAACTCGGAGCCCCAAACACTGCTGGAGGCCGAGGGACCACACGAGCCGCGCGCGCAGCCGGTCCTTGCCAGCCTCCTCGCCAGCTGCACGGAGCCTTGCATACAAGGAGAATTTCGGCATGGCTGCGAGCTCGGACTCGCCTCCGGCGGAAAATCTCTCGCCGGCTACCGGCTACTGCTCATGTCGTGCCTTGTTGTTGGGGCAAGCAAGGCACAGGAATTTTTCAACAAATCGGTTCGCTGCTGGTGTTGCGCATGTTGTTGGCCTCCGGCTGCAAATGCCTGCAGTTTCAAGCACCCATGCACACGCAAAGCCATGTGTGACCGGGATATCACTCTTTGGCAATTTGCACATCCCCTCCGGCGGGGAACCTCATAGAAATTGACCGCAGACAAGCTTGACACACCTGCATCTACCTGGCACATAAGTGCAGCTGACAACTGCATAAGCTTTTCCATGTTAGAGCTTCACGTGTACTTGCTGTCGTGACTCATGATGTGTCGGAACCCGTCTCTGGTATATATTGCGTTAGGACTAAAGGCTTACGAGTTGCTGGTACCGTAAACCCAAAACCCTGAACCACGACGCGCTAAGCTTGTGGATTTGGGGCTGACATCGTTGAAGGCTGCATGAGGCCATCAACGTGAGAGCAGCGGCTGGTTACGTTTCAGAATTTGAGTGCCCGTCAACTACGCCCCCCCCCACAAGTACAGAAGCCGTCGATTCACGAACGAACTGGCCGAAAAAACATGAGTAGTACGACAAGATAAGCTAGTGATGGTGGTAGTGGTAGTAGTAGTAGTAGTAGTAGTAGTAGTAGTAGAGTACTAGTGTAGTAGTCGTAGTCGTCGTAGTAGTCGTCCTAGTAGTAGTAGTAGTAGTAGTAGTAGTAGTCGTCGTCGTAGTAGTAGTAGTAGTAGTCGGAGTAGGAGCAGGAGCAAATCCCGCGCTGCCGCCTTCCTCACGAGCTGGAAGAGGAGGATTGGATGGGCAGCTGCACACGAGGCCTCGAATTGGCAAGGAAACCTAAACCCTAAACCCTAAACCCTAAACCCTAAGGAATAATATGGGTGAGCTTTTCAGGCATTTGTATAAAACCCTGGCCCGAAACCCCTAAACCCCTAAGTCCCAAACCCCATAGACCCTGCAAACCCTAACAACCCGAAAACTCCTGGACCTTGAACCCCCAAAGCCCAAAACCCTCACCCCGACAGCTTCAGCTCTAAGCTGACAGCCTTCGATCCCAAAGCAGAGTCAGGGCAGGAGTCCCCACCCAGAAGCCAAAAAGGTTTCGGGATTTAATGGCTTTAGGAGTTGAGGCATTTCTGGGTTCAGGGATTTAGCAGTTTAGGGATGTAGGGGTTAAGGGGTTAGGGTTTAGGATTCAGCAGTTTAGGGATTTTGGGGCTATGGTGTACAGGTCAACTTATCCCGAAAACGTCGCTTCTAGTGAGGTGTAATTAGCACTTTGCGGTTGAAGCATTTACGGCTTGAGGGTTAC